TGACGCTTCATAAACATAAAAGTGAAAGAGGAAATACCATATAATGGGCTGAAATCTGAATAGAGCATCACAACATGGAAAAGAACAAATCAGCAAATGGATGATACACCGTTCATTTTCACCCTAAATGGCTGAAAGGAATTACCATTTTTTCTACCAAAGTCCTGCAGTTAACAAAATATTTTGTATATAATATTTTTAAATCCTATATTTTTTCTCAATTCAAAAGAAATATAAATATAAAATATAAAGTTGTGTATTTGCATGTTTATATTTGTACTTTCAAACTGAGCCAAAAGATTAAAAACTGGGGAAATGTAAATAAAATTGGATAAGCATTGTCGGTTTTACGACTTTTGAATTGGTTAAGTTGGGTTTCCACGTTTATTGGGAGGGCTGGTACATTGTCACATCCTCTCGGTAGAAGCAGGGCACACCATGTGAGAATGTAATTCATGATGCATTACAAAAACGAAGAAATAATAATAATTAACTCCCTCTTTCCAATGTAGAATTTGACCTCGTGGGGGTGGAAACTTCCTCTTTAGCCGTGGTAGTCATAAATTACCACTTACTAGTTTAATGGCTCGTGCAATAAATGAGAGAGAGCATGGTGTTGTCTATATATGAATCCTGTTTTGCCATTCTGTTATACTATTTAATTCTATATCTAGTGTTTATTTGTGGTTATTTAAATCATTTTCTACTATACAAAATATAAAAATTCTCTGATCCAACGGATCTTATAGATCTAAATGGTTCATTTGGTTGTTGAGAAACAATGGGATGAAAAGGGATGGGATGGAAAAGCATAGAATGAGAAAGGAAAATTTATTTTCTCATTTTTGGTATCCTGTGTTTGTTTGCTGAGACCTAATATCCTACAAAATTTGCTTTCAGTGTTTGGCTGATGAAAAAATTTTATAGGAAGAGGTAGATGCCAGATCTAAAAGACGTGACGTCGGAAGCCAGATCTAGAGCTTAGACGTTAAAATGAATGGAAATGTCTGTCAACATGGAAGAGCGACGCCTTTAACAATAGATTTACCATTTTTCTATGAATGAAAACTGATCTTGAAGACCATGGATGGTGGTAGACAATGGAAGCCAGATTTGGAGCTCATGCGTTAAAATGAACGTAAATGGCTGTTGACATGGAAGAATGACGCCTCTAACAGTAGATCTACCATTTTTCTATGAAAGGAAACTGGTCTGAAAGAACAAGGACGGTGGTAGATGAAGGTGAGATTCGAAGGGTGATTCATTCAATGAAAGAAGACAAATATGGCGGAATTTGCGAGAGGATGCCAAATTTGAGCTTACCTTTCGAAAAAATCACTAGAGATGGTGCCAATGAGATGACCATTGGATGGCACCCAAGAAGAAGACGACGCTTTCTAGGTTGTTGGCTCGACAAAATTTTCTCACAAAGGCCTCTATTTTCCTTTCTCAGCGAGGTCTCACCATTTTGGTGTCACCCCGCGTATTGGATTTTGGGAAACACTGTCCTAAGTCTTTCTCTTCCCATCCTAGTTTTTCTTTCAAAACAAATTATAGAAAAATTGAATATTCTTCGAAGATTCTTCCCTTCCCATCCCTTTCTTGGCAACCAAACATACCAGAACTAATTGGACCGGTTCTAGTTCTGAAAATTGAAAATGATGGGTTGGTTTTAGGTTCTAATATAGGATCTCAATTATTATTGGTTTGAAACTAGTTACACCTAGTCCCGAACTGATTCGGACCCGACCCGGTATATATTAAATACAAATATTTATTTTTTATTTATTATAATCGGGGCTGTCGGGTTAGATATGATTGTCCCGGTAATTGATCAGTTTAGTTCCAGGTCCAAAAATACAAACCCCATTGAGTCCGATTCTAGTTGGTTTGCCTCAACCCTAACCCAACCCTCCAACACCTTGACCCGACCCGACCCGACCCTATAGGGTTTAACACGATTCTGACCCAACTTGACCCGTATAATTTCAAGTGTATTTTTTAACGCATTTTGAAGACCTAAAATACTTTAATTTAAATAAGGAAATTGTTTTATAGATTTTAAGGTGTTATTTTTTCCATTTAAAGAAAAAAAGAAGAAAATCAAAATCAATATATAAATAATTATAAACTTTAAGCCTATAAAGTTAGAAGTCAAAAAATTACAAGAATACTTTGTATATATATAACCGTAGGATATCATGACCTAGCGAGTCAGATCAGTCAAAATTTGAATCTGACTTGGGTCAAAGAATCAAAACCCTAACCTGATCCTAAAATAAATATACTTGACCCTAACCCGACCCATTAACATTCCTAATTACAACCCGTTGACAGCCCTACTTTCAAAACTCTATTTAATTATTATTTTTTATATGATGTTTCACGATTAGGTAAAATAGTAGGGAGTCTAATGATTAAACCTTGAGACCCCTATAAATCCGTCTAAATGAATAAATGATAATGATATATCGCAAACCAAAGTTAAAAAGTATTGATGTTTCACGGGTAGAAGTATTGTACAATGTGTATTGATTTTCAGGGTCATCGAAACGCTATGATAGTTTTATATGATAAACCATGATGTGATATCTAAAATTTAAATGTCAAATGCAAAAATTAAAAAAAAATCATTGATCAATTAAGAATTAAAACTCGTGATATGTTAAATTTTCGTAACAAGATTAATCGATACTGTGAATAAAAAAAAAAAAAGATTATTTGATACTTGGAAAAACTGATATTTTAATTCATGTGGTTTTGGTTTACCTCTAGCCCTTCCCTTTTAGCTCTTTCAAATTGGTTGCTTCTTCTTATAAGTTAAGTTTTGTTTATGACTAAATCATCTTATTCTATTTCCCTTTTATCATTATGGTTTATTTGATTTCATATACATTTTTGCTGCATTTAATTTTTGGGGCATATTATAAGAGAAAGGTACAATTTAGATCAACTTTCCATGATTAATTTCACGGGTGTGGACACTTGAGGAATGTTTGGTTGGAGGAATCAATTTGTTAACTTTGATTTATAAAATTTCCAAATTAGTCAATCTCACAACTCGTGTGAAACGTGAAAACCCCATTTGGTAAGGAGTACTTAGTCACAATATTCATGATTTGAGATGATGCCTAAAACTCAGAGATATATCATCATGAATTGGGATGATATTTTCACATGGATTCTGTACATGGCAATGGCATGTCCATGCCAACAATGTAACAATCAATGATGTTTAGATACTTGTATGTTTTTTTTGGAGAAATCACTTCATCAGCACAGTATCTATCACACATGTATCTAAAAGAAATCAGTGATTTTCCAAAACCCTCAAAACTGGAAATGATTTTGACAAATTGATTTCTCCAACCAACACCCAGTATTCTTTTTTTTGTTTTGAATAAAACAGAATGATATCTTTTAAAATCTAAATTCAATTAGGCCGTGTTTGGTTGCAGTGCAATAAATGCATGGGAGTATAAATACAATGAGTGTAAATTCTGATTTGCTTTTGCTTCAGATATGACCTTGTATTGTTTGTTTACCAAAAGTAAAACAAGAAATAAAATGGTATAGTTTCACCTTACATGCAAGAGAATGGAGATAGGAGGATTATTGGTTTGGGAGTGGGGTAGGAAGCAAGATGAAATGGTCCCACCTTATATAAGAGAGAATTGAGATAGGAAGAAGATGGTATATATCAATTTTGAGATGCAAAATTTACACTATCAGTAGTGCAAGTGAAACAAAAAAATAAAAATTTTATATTATGCAGGACTGCAAATTATAGTTACAAACAAATAGATGCAAAATTTTCATTTGATTCAGATTTCCACAGCAACCAAATGCAGCCTTAGGAGCAAAATGATATGCAGAACTTAAATTTTAACCATAATAAATAGATAGTTACATGAGTACATCAATTATAAAACAGACAGGAAAAAAAAAAAAAAAACATATAACATATGACAAGGGTTTGAGTATGATACCGGAAAAACTTGCAACCAATCAACCAGTATAAAAAAAAGGGTATCCAATCAGGTAATATATTTCCGACAGCATAGTATTACTATGCTTTTCTATCAAAAATAAATGTCATTATATTCATGTATTGTAAAATATACTTCCAAATAAGACATTCGACAATTTGTATTACTTTTTTAAACCAGTCCAATTGTATAGAATTTGAGTCCGAAATAGCAATCTGTTACTGAAGTGTAGTTGAACCTTGAAAGGCTGGCCTAATTGGTATTCTCAAATTCAAGTTGGGTGGAGACTGGAGAGGAAGAAAGCAGTATCATAATAAAACACTCGCTTTTCATGTTTGGCAGAAACAAAGCTATTGGGGCATTTACGGTCTTGATGAGGAGTGTATAATTAATTATATTGGCAAACTATGGATGTGATGACTACTCAGAAAAGTGGTAAGCTTTTTCACAATTCAACGTGCAGCATTGAGCTAAAGAGCAACCCCCACCATTCATGAATTCTCGTTTTGGAAAGCAGCCATTGCCATGCGAGGAGCCCCAAAGCCTGCATTGATACTTCTCATACAAGCTTTTCCCTTGATCGATGCAGTTCCTGTGTCCCCAGGCTCCGTCGCCCTATGTTTTGATCCAATTCTTAGTTTGGTTAGTGGTTTGGGTGCAGCGGTCAGAAAAATAAAGGGAAGGGAGAGGTTAAAAAATGGAAAAGAAATGTTGAATGTAAGAACGCTCGACAATGACATCCATCCGACCCAGATATGGACCCATTTTTTACACTGCTTTTTAAACTTTCCCGCAAGTCCATAACTAACCACAGGCGCTGTCTTGTGTCCATGTCGTGCCCTGCGTCAAAGGGTAAGGGAAGGGTACGTTCCCCCCGGCCCCCGCACAGGAAAATGACTTCGGTCTTACACATTCAACTACTTTCTTTTAATCTTTTTCTTCTTCTTGTTTATTCAATTCAAGAGGCAAACCATCCAATATCTACTGTTCATCTACTGTTTAGAGAGAAAATAAATAAATACTTGTTTTTTTACATCTTTCCTTAGCATTCGTGACAATATAACAAAAACCCAGATCAGACACTCAACTTTTGGTTACAGCAGAAAGGAAAGAAAAAAAAAAATATGGATTTTCATCCCCCTCCCGTTACCATCCAACTCCTGTACCAGGGCCAAGCTCGAGAGAGACCCAGCCAAAGACAACTTCTACATTACTCAAAAACCAAGCCCACACAAACCAAAAACTAACAACATGAAAAAAAAAAAAAAAATAGTGCCAAGCCATGACGACAGGCAGCCAGATTCTTGTTGCCACCGCCGTCACATACTTCAGGAAAGAGAATTAGTAGAAATCATGGCAGGTTAGTGGTGCCTCTCCGAGATATCAACACAACATCGCCACCAGCCTCCGTGTATGGAAGGTACACCGAAAAGCGAAAAAAAAAAAAAACAAACCTCTCCATCTGTACCATGTCCCGGCCAGAAATGGAACCCCGACCTCTAATGCTGCCTTTGAGAGTATAAAGATTCGTGCAGGCGCCAAGCAGGACCTCCTGTGAATGATTATGCTCCTATTTACAGAGATTGGATGATTTTCCAACTCCAAAATTACTTGGTCAGCTTCACTCCTACACTTCCACCTTCTAACATGTCAGTCAATTAAAGTACCCACCACCTGTATGAACAATTTTCCCCTAATACCTACCCCCACAATTGTTAGACTTTCATCTTCCATACAACATTATCCATGTTGTGGTTATGTGATTTCTCAAGTGCAGCGACTTTGGCCCGATGTGTTGCCACCGCCGTGGCCTTTCCCCTCTCACCACGAGGGAGCTCACATGCCTCGCTGATGGAGCCACACCTTAAATCAGCCGGGGGAATGAAGCAATCTATCGACAGACCGGGAACATTGAACGCTACCTCCTCAATTGTCCATGCCTCCTCCATTCTTGTCTTGGTGTGACTCATTGCCATCTCGCCAAACCTGAAAAGAGTCACTACCGAACGGCCTGAATGGGCTATCATAATTCCTTCCACAGGTCTATAGTCATCAAGAAAAGAATTAATGGTTGTTTCCCAATACACGGCATCACCACCATTTGACTGAATGCGGCTAAGATGGGAGTCTTCCATCTGGACAAGGAGCCCCGTCCTTTGGCTGAAGTAGCCAAACAAAACGTGCCTTATTATCTCCGCCGGCCCTTCGCTTCGGGCCTTCAATGTCTGTGGATCCGCACAGAGCTTAAGGATGAAGCAATCCTCACCATTGACCTTCTTCTCTCCGATGCACCTCGCATTAGCAAACATGCTGGCGGTGGTTCTTGGATCAAGACCCTGAAAATAACAAAAAATCAGAATGGTCAGATGGCTAGCAGCAAATCTATCTACAGAGGCAACAGCTTGACATGATGAACCAGTGATTTGAACTTCACCTGAAGTGCACGACGTAATGGTCTAACAGGCCCTTTTGCAGCATGCGCACCAAGCCATGGGGTGTGCCTCCAGACCAGCTTTCCATTGCAACCAGCATGAACCTTACTGCCACCAACTGCAAGCTCCACATACCACATATCTGGGTTCATCTGCCACAGAACAAACCCACCTGATTCGGCCGCTCTTGAAGCATTCCGGTTCCTCATAACCTTTGTAGCTGTCTCGAACTCGGAGGCTAACATCTTGACCTTTCCCATGGCATAGGCATTTCGGATGGAGCTCTGCAGCCTTTGCCCTCCTGATGCAGCCGTGTACTGTTGCAATATGTACTGAGCAGACGAAGTTTCCTGCAACATCGCCAGGAATTCATCGAAAAAAGTACTAACTAAATTGAGAAGGGGGTCTCACTAAATTGTAACGGTGAGAAGAACTCATACAGGGGACAACTGCTGTGCAATTTTGGAACAGAGGAGAAGGGGCATCCACTCTACGTTTGTTCAATACATAAACTTCTAGCGTTTTGGATTTTGCCATTACAAATTTTCAAACCATGAAGAATTCGTCAGGAGTTGCAAATCTACGATTTTTTCACTTTAATGTTCACGAAACAACGAAGGCAGTACAGAGGCGCCCATTTCCGTTTCACGCTAAAAACTCAATTATCTAACACCAGAAAGAAATAGTGACCCCAAGGAATAAGAAAAAAAAAAGTAATGGTTCTAATGCCATTTACTACTACAAAGACTACAAACCAGTGCTTCCATTAAGGTTTCAGTAGTTTTAAGTGAGATCTTAACTGGCATTCTCTTACGAGTTACGAGTCCCTATTATTAGAAATGCCCAGGGATTCCAAGTCATTGATCCAAGCCCCATCCCATGTAAAGAGAAAATAAAAATGTTAAAAAAAGAGAAATGCACAAGGCATTGTTAAAAGGAGAAATAAATGGCAGCCGGAAGAACGGAAGAATACTCCATAAGCAAGGACTAGAAACGTAAATAAAACCACAAAGTACGAAAACAAAGTGTTCGTATCCGTATGTGTGAGAAAGGGGGGAGAGGGAGAGGGAGAGGGATAGAAACTCACAATGGGAGTGTCTTTGATGCTAAGGTGAGGCAGAGGGTCGGCAGTGCTAACGTGAACAGGGGCGAGAGGCGCGCCCATGACACCAAGGAGAAGCCTCAGATCGGAACGCTTGAAAGGAGACGAAGAAACCGACGGCGCCCTTGAGAGCTGGCCTTTCATCCAATGACCCCATCCTTCCTTCTTCGAATCACCACCCTCGCAGGCATCGGGATCAGGCCCTTCCATCAACGGTGTCAGCGTCTCCCCCACCGGTCTCAAGCTCCCGGATCTTGCAACCAACGGCTCAGGATGGGCTACGTACTGCTTCCTCCTCCGGAGAAGCCCAGAAATCGGGGACGGACTCCTGGTCCTCGACCTCGCCGGCGATAACCCTCTTACCACCTCTTCCTTTAAAGCCGAGAAGAATCCCTGCTTCTTCTCCATTTCCAAAAACTACCGCCCCCCCTAAAACCTACTCAAACAAAACTCTAAGAGAAGCAGAAGATCAAACCCTTACCCCTTTTCCCTCTTCTGCTGTCTAATATTAAGAAAATATTTATGTGAGAGAGAATGAGCAAAGCAACAGCAAGACTAGAGACCAGAGACTACAGAACTATCATCGTACAGAATGTTCCGACGGAGTTCTCTAAGAAACCCTAATATACGGGAACGGATCGAATGAAATGCGCTTCCTGTTTGAAAGAGAGAGTAAGAGCACTGAGCAGAGAACTACTACAGAGAAACTACTCAAACCCAAAAGGCAGCGACGCCTAAAAGGTGAGAAGAAGTAGAAACACCGGTTTGGAACTATTGGAAGAGAGTGGTGGTCTTGTGGACTACCGGACTAAGATAATAATAAATAAATATAAATTTAATATATCTAAAAAAAAAAATATTTATTTATTTAAATAAAAATAAAAAGCTTTCGCGCGTGACGATAAATAGGCTAGCACCGAAGAGAGAGTGTGTGGTACTGTACTCCGGTAGAGTATAACTGAATCAAGCGGCTTTTTCGTTACAGCATATATTTTGCGCCGTTATTTTGACGCCTTACAAGATAACGGGAATCAAACGGCAATGGATGGTGGAGGAATTTCTTTCTTTCCTTTTCTTTTTTTTTCCCTATTATATTTGATGATTACAATGGAAATCTAGTCCTTGTCAGCTAGACCGTAAACACGGTTTTAGGTCCGGCAGATGCATCGTTCCTCAATAAAGGGTAGGACGTCGAGCGTCGACGAGGAAAACCTTTCGTCAGTGGGACCCAAATGGGTTGGATGGGACGGACATGTTTGAGAAATGAGATTACAATGTGGTGTGGACATGGGATGTTAACTAGATTCTAATCTGACGTCAGAAAAGTTCTCTCTCATGTGAGGAAGGAGCCTCACCACTGCTGATTAATGCAACCCATGCCACATTCACATTGTTTGTGTAGGTGCTAGTTTTGGAGTTTGGGACCACTAGTGGGGTGGGGGAGCGAGCCCATTTAACAGAGTTTTCTGTCCATGGCCCATCTAAACTTTCCTAGGCCCGTTCTGTGTTTGACGGACCGCGCCAAGAAAATCAAGTCAATTCTTCGCTATATATGGTCTTGCAGCTCTTGCTTTTTAAGTGGGACCCAAAGCAAACCTACCGAACCGAACCCATGTGTGACAAGTTTGGTGCTGCTAATTAAGATTTATTACCGATCAAGCCCCTAAGTTTGTCTTAACTGTCTAAAGATCATTATTTTGTTAATCCTCGAAAGAGATTGTGTGATACTGATGGTTAGATGTTACACAGGCAACTTCAAGAATGATTCTTTCAGTACTACATCCAAAGCATAGTTGAAAGTATCAAAACACCTGAATACACAGGAAGGGGGTGTAACAACCTTGTACATTTTCTATAGTTTTTTTTTTTTGGTCAAAATTTCACAATAAGGCTATTTTCATGTTATTTAATTATTAGGAAAGATTTTCTAAAATATACCTTAAAAATAGGTAAAAGAGGTATCGATTATCTAAAAGATTAAAAGTATGATACCGATACAACTAATACGAAGCCTATGGTATTGGACTATTGATACTTTGAACCTTCGTCCAAAATAACCTATTTCTAACAAACCCCTGTTTGGTTGTCCCTTGCAGGGTTATCATCGGGGAACAGTTCAACCATTCATTTTGATATTGGTTTAAAAGTAAAAAAAAAGTACTAAATATACTGATAAATGTTAACAACAAATGTTTGCTATAGATCTGGACTAAGTCATATACTCATATCGTATTTGGCACAATGTAGCGTTTTGTAGACATTTGTGATGTGGTGATGTTGTAACTCATTCTCCCGATACTAATTGCTAAGGGTCTGTTGGGTCAGTTGGGCTCACGCATTCTCGAGTCTAATGAGGTGAACAGAAAAATCGACCTAAAAATTTTGGGTTTGATTTTTTGGTTCGATCATTTTGCTTTTTAGTTAATTTGGTTTGATTAATTTCATTTTATAAAATTTTTGTTTCGGCTTTGGTTTTCATATTAGAAAATTCAGATAATAATAAAATTGAATTAATCAAACTTTATTATTTATATAATATATACTAATATATATGCTATATATCTATAATATATTACACTATATGTATTATATACTATTATATATATATATATTGTATAATAATATATTAATATGTTGATGTGTATTAATATATTAAAGAAATTTAATTTTAACTAAAGACTAAACAAAAAATTTCAGTTTTGGCTACTTTGGTTTTAAAATTTTCAATTAGGCCAGGAAACTAGTAAGGGTACCAGTTCTGTTTCAGCCTTCAACTGCTAAAAAAAAAAAAACATTGAACGATCCATCAAAGTATGAATCCATTTGACTTGGACAATGGGTTTTAGGCCAATTTTTATTTTAAAGCATTGCAGGGCGATCTATTCGGATCACATGGCTAAACCACTGACCTAACGGATGGTCAAAGACACTTATATCTTAGGTGGTGTTTGGTTCTATTTATGTTTATTGAATAAATGTTTTGTACTTGTGTAACTATAAAACCAAGAAAATCAATTAATGACGGTATTTATGACATGTAGGGGCCATTAGGCACCACATCAGCAAAATGAAACTTTCTGAAATAGGAGAGGCACATCGGATGCAATTAATGAAGCATTTACTGATGGGGCGTCTATATAACACCGTTTACTCAATAAACATAAACGGAACCAAACACATACTTAATTAGCCTCTACTTTCTTGTTTTGAGTTAGAGGAAAAGGGAGAGAGAAGAGAGAGAAGGGTGCAAGTTGGGCTGACTCGAGCTAATAATTTACACTGTTTTGGGCTGGCTTCAAATTGGTCCATTGAAATTTTGATAAAATCTAACATGCAAAAGTTGGCACCCCTAAAGAGATAGATTTGAGTAGGTTCACGTGATATTTTAGTGCAATGTGCAATGATAATTTGAGACCCAATCAGGACCGAACAATTAGTGAGCCATATAATTATAAGATGTACAGTCATTAACGTTTCTACTCTTGATTGGGTTTTGTAATTGTACAAAATTGCAATAACTTTTTTTTTTAAACCATTGCAATAAGAATTGGCATTTGCTCCTCCGAGAGTCCTCAATACAGGAGATGCTCCCTGTGCGGTTGGAACATACTGTGAGGTTGGTGTGCGGAGCACTCCTTAATTAACAGATCCAACTCTTGTAATAACTTCAATTGTAATGTTTCTCTCTTTCGAATTTGCCATGTTAATGTTTTAGGCAGAGATGCACACGGTAAGGTTAATTGAACCATGAATTATTTTTTAAAACCCAATTAGTATTGCCAGTTTTTGAAAAACTGTAAACCAAAACTAATTGTTTAACCGAATGTTCAGTTCAGTTTTTAACCGATTCAGTTCTTTGGATTTTTTATTTTTTATATTTTTAATATATATATATATATATTATAAAATGTAAATACTATGGTAAAACTTCGAGTTGGTCGCTTATTGAGTATTGGCTTCATTCATTCTCATATCAGAGAGGAAGGATCAAGTCCGTGCGTTGGAATTGTAAGCTCTCATTGATAGTGGGCCTCACCCCATGTCCCTACTCGTGTGGCTCTACTGACCTTTGATCCACTAATCTGACCATTCGGATATCAAATATCCTCTCCATACGTGCATAACATGTAATATTTAAACAAGTGTTTTGATTTTAACGGGTATTATGAATGATTTTGTTTTTAAAACAAAAACAAAAAAATTGCCGCTTCATAAAAAAAATAATCACAATAATTACTTTTGTTAACATGATAATTACTTTTTTTCAAGAAATTATTTACGGACAACACCTTGTAATGAAAGAGTACAAATACAAATATGTACCGTACAAAACTTTTATGTTATATTTGTAAGTTTTATATTTATATAATACACATTTGCATTTATACGCTTTCTTAACTGAGTCTTAATTACTTTATTTCAACTTGTAAAAGAAAAGGAATCAGAATAATTTGAATGGAAAGGAGTCAAGGTTACTAATGCTTGGGAATGGTATAAGAAGCCAATTAAGGAGCTGGCAAACCAACTCGTGATGGTTTTTTATTTGAAGAGGATTCAAAAGTCAAAGTATGGGAAACTCAGACCACATAGCATCAGTGTTGACCAAGACAACTTGCAAATCTTTTATCTATAGTAAACCCTAAAAACCTTGAGAGGATAAAATAAATTACTAATAAAGAATGATGCTTTTGGTTGGTTGTTGATGAAATTGCCATTTTAACGGATGTACCAAATAAGCATCCCTTTGGATTGGCTGGGTTATGTGTTTACTTTTGGAGGTCCCACTGCAATTCAGCTCCATACTGAACAAGACTCTTCCACCATTCTACAATTTATCGAAATTCTTATATTAAAGTAGTAAAATTAAAAAAAAAAAGAGTAAGAAAGAATTAATGTTATCCATTATAATAAAGTGGAATGAATTATTAATCTCTAGCTAAAATGAAAGTATAAAGAGAAGAAAGCTTTGGCTGTTCACTTTCCAGAGCCCGATAGATGGTAGACGACGACCATAGGATTGCCCATAAGTAAAAACTCTGCACATACACTTAAAACATGGGAATTCACCGGTACATTGGGAATATCTTTCCATGAATTTAGTATGTATGAGAGATATTCTAAATGTGTGATTGGATGCTATGTGTGCAGAATTTTTTATTGCAGGAAATCCAAACTTGCCAAAAGGGCCTTCCTTCACACAGGAAATCTTTGTGTAAATCAAGGATCAAAACGTCAATATGATATTAGAAAGGCATCCCTGATCCTTAAAAAAGATAAAAATAAACCAAACATAGAGTATCAATCATATTAATGGCGTGTCGATATTTTGATCTTTGGGGCTTGGAAGTAATTATTTGCGAAATAAGTGTTTATTGAGCAAGTTAACAGGCGCTCATGAGCATTTGGTGAAAAAACACTTATTTAAAATAGGGGTAGTATAGGTATTTTCAAAATGACATGACAGGCCAAGATACTCCGTAAAGGAAAAAATCATTTATTGAATAAGCACTTAAAATAAGCCCACAAATTTGGGATTATTGAATAAGTGCTTATTCGGGCTGATTTCTCAAACACAAATAATTGGTTATTGGTGTGGTCCCAACCCAAAACAAGTGCTTATTTTTAAGCATTCTCAAATGTAGCCTAAAAAGTAGGGTTGTCAATGGCTCGGGGTCTGACCCGATGGACCTAAACTGTTAGTGCTTGTTATAGTTCCACCGATGGGTCGGTTCCAGGTCTTGATATGAAATCTAAAAAATTTCTGACCAGTCAATTGGAATCATAAACGTAAT